AATGAATTAAATTGACCACCGCGAAAGGGCATTTAATAGGAAGTTCACACCTCTTTCCCAACCGATGTCGCAAAACTTGCATAGTTGTAAGGTATTCCTATAGGGTGGTATTAGACTTAATAAACGCTATTCAAGGAATATCTTATTTCATTTAAATTTACTTTTCTGTTTCACATTTGTTTTTCTTAATAAAAACTTTATACTTTATTTTTGGGTGTTTGAAGAATCATTGATAATCAATGGTTTCATTTAAACGCCACTTATACCTAAAGTTGTTTTCATTTAAACGCCACTTATACCTAAAGTTGTTTTCATTTAAACGCCACTTATACCTAAAGTTGTTTTCATTGCACAAACTCTTGTTTGTGCTTTATAAAAAGAGCGTACAAATATCTTGCACTTGGTACGATATTTTAACAGCTAACCGGATCTAGCAAGCTTACTGATATTTCAAATCGTTTTAGTCATTGCATATCAAATTTGACTGTCATTCTACAGGAGTCTGCATTAACAAAATTAAATTTAACAAATAGTAAAATTGTTTTATACAATGTAGCAAAGAAAGAGTTTTCCACTCTAGTAAATGAGTCTGGAACAACTCGTATTTATCATGGAAATTGTGTTCAAGAAAAATACGTTTCTAAACTTAGCAACGCTGTTCAAGAAAATAAAAAACTGCGACGTTGTGCTTGTTATTATACGTTCTTTACGTTCTGTACTTCAGAAATTTTTGTTACGTTCTGTACTTCAGATAATTTTTAGAAATTTTTCTCGGTAAAAAGAGGCTTTAGTTTTCAAGCTTCAAAAAGTATTTTATAAAACAAATACTTTCATTTATATTAAAATAGGCAAGTACAAAATAGGCCAAAAATTTAACATAAACTGGTATTTAAATTTATTATGATATCTTTATAGAACATGAAATTGCGGCGTCCTATTCAATTAACGGCGTGCTATAAGGAAAACATTAACATCGGTCCGTGCGTTGTCGTAAAAAAGGTCTCTGCTTTTAATCGATTTCTGCAAAAATAACGACTAAAGTGTATTATTTTGTCATGAAAAAAATTTCAAAGGGTTAATAAAACCCAAATTTTTATCATCCTTTTATGATTCCAAAATTTTATTTATTTAGTAGCAAAAATAATGACTTAAATGTATTATTTTGTCATGACAAAACGTTCAAAAGGTCAATGATATCCAAATTTTCATCAATATTTCATGATTCCAATTTTGAAATCATGAACTTATTATACGTATAAATGACTTTCCGTGGGGCTATGTGAAATTTTTTGTTGCTTTGTATGTAAAGGTTTTAGGGAAAAGTCATGGAGATTGGACATAAAAATTTGCTAATTATCCTGATTATTTACATTTACATTAATCAACTTCACTCATATTAAAATGATCAAAGGCATTCATTTTTAACATAGTACTATCTTAAAAATTGAGTGATCCTGGTAGTCATATAGTTAACGGGAAACATTTTAAACATCAAATTTCTCTACTCATAAACATTATGTATAGGAAAACTAGAAAGCTGTCTAGATTTGCGTCCAGGTAGTTGTAGTCTTTTGTAAAAGCTATGTTTTTTAATGTTGCCCCAATAGCATTTTTAATATTGAATCCCAATGTAGTGAATTAAAAATAGTAAATTAAAACTCGAGCTGGTATAGAAGACTTTATTCAGAAAACTAATAAATATACTACCTAAAGATACAATCATATTGTTTTACATAAATAAATAAAAAAAATAGTTATCAAATAACAGCAGTAATTGATAAGAATCAGCACTCTTAAAGCAAGAATATAGCCACCAGATTTAAATTTCTGATAAAAGTTTATTCTGATATAGTAATCTGTCTGATACACAATCATCCAGTTAGGAGATAGAAAACTAGTTGCTCCAGCTGGTTTTTATTATATAGGTAAGAATGGGGTAATGGCGAACGCGGGGTTACTCCGAACATTGTCAAAACGGTATGATAGATCAAGATAGTTGACTATTTCTTTTTGCTTGCTGAGAGGGGGTCCCATACTCAGTTCCAGATGTGCAGTAGTGTAGTGAAGCTGCACTTGTTTTTCCTAATAAATTGAATTTTTTCTGATAATTTCATGTAATTTTTTGCTTGAGAAACATTCCTGTTGTAGCTACTATGAATTTATAACCACTCCTTTTGTTGATGTTGCATAGTATCATAATCAAGGAGTTTTTAACACGTATTATATTTTGGGTCAATACAACCTTGATAGGTTAATTCTACTTCATTTGTTTGTGTCCGAGGGGATATTACGATTGATCTTAGTGGGGTAATTTCGAACGTCTAAAGTGTCATTGATACCACACGGACGTCAGGCGGCCAGAATTTTAATGTTTCTTACTTTTTTCACATTTAATTTTAACAAATAAATTTTTAGATAGGTAATTTCATTTAATTAAGTGAAAACCAGAGAATGTTGAAGAAAGAAACATTCCACTATTATTAACAGTTCGCCAATGAGAAATATTTTAGAGCAAAAGAAAAGGAAGAAGGAAGAAATAAAAATGTACCATCATGTCAAAAAAAAAAAAAATGAGCCAGAGGTGATACAGAACTTTTTTGCAAAAATTAATTTAAGAAAAGTATAAGGATCCACCAACAGAAGACTGGATCATGTGTCATAAATGCCAGTCCTGGTTGTTCAAAAGTGCTCAATTGGTGAAAGCACGTCCCGGGTTTTAGTTTGTGATTTTTGTTTTTAAAATTTTTTTAAATTTTAATAATTAAAAAATCAAATATTAATTTTGAAAGAGTGTACTAAGTTACAATGAAAAGTTTCATGAAATGTTTCATGGAAGACTGGATTATGTATCACAATTGTAAGGCCTGGTGGGGGTGAACATATTCTGAGGTTTTGTCTGTGATTTCTCCACTTGGTTATTATAGTTAGCATTTTATTCTTTATTACACAACAGTGTTTGTGATTACCCGAATATGTGTTCGGAATTACCCCAGACACGTAGGATAATTCCAAACACCAATGGTTTTATTTTTGCCCTAATTTTTTATTTTATTATAAGATAATATTATACAAAATTGCTTTTGGGGGTTTGTGACTGAATAGTTAGACTAAATGATAAGCAATAAATATGATCAACTTTGTATAACTGGTATCTTTAATTCGCATTCCTGCTTAGGTGTTTGCCAATACCCCACTCTCCCCTACCGATTAGACATTTAATGGTATTGATAATAATATTGATAATAATATTGATAAGGATCCTTGTTTATATACTCTCGAGTCCTTAATATAAAGGAGGGGGAAGAGGGAAGTTTATTACAAGATTTTGCAAAGTTATAAGTGCATGTTTGCAAAATTATAAGTGCACGCTTGCAAAGTTATAAGTGCACGCTTGCAAAGTTATAAATGCACGCTGGCAAAGTTATAAGTGCATATATATTTTTTTGGAAATTATTTCTTTTAGTTTTAAAAAATATATTGCGCAAAATATTAAATTATTATGACTTGCTAAAATGTAATTTTAGCAAATCATAATAACCTCCAAACTCCTTTGTTAACCCTTCCTCCCCACCTCCCCCTCGTTTATTAGATCTAGACTAAATTCCTCCCCCAGAGGTGGGATTTGAACCACGGATGTTACGTTTCTGAGGCAAGTGTGCTACCACTGCGCCACGGCTGCTCTTCTTCTTTTAAACAGGCACAGCGGTGATTTTTTCCTAAACGTTTTTTTTTTTAAATACCAAAATTTATCGAAACTTGGTCCAAAACGTCCGCAAATGATTATTTTTTTCGAAAAATTGCAAAATAATTTAATCTTTAACATTAAATTAGGGTTCTATAATAGCATTTTAAGTATATTTCGTTAAATAGAAAATAAAGTTTGAACATATATCATTCGTTTTTTTATAAAAATTGTTAGTTAAAAGTTATATAGATAATGAAATTCAATTTGTTTTAAAAAGAGTTATATAGTAGTTTCAAGCAAAACAACCATCAAAATTTTAGTTGAATAAAAAAATTGTATTTAAGTTATTTAATGATAATTTTTTTATTCAGCAAAATATTTTCTTGATTCAAAAAAAAGTTTAAATTATTATATACTTAGTTTTTAAATATTGTATATTTAATAATTATCAATAATAATTCAAATTTAGCATATTTATTAAAATATTTATATATTTTTTTTTTATTCATTTAAATACCTAACTTTTACACAATAATAAATTTTATCTTTCCTTGAAAAGAAAGATACCCCAGAAATATCAATAATTTATATTCCGGGGTAGCGTGGTTAAAGTAAAATTTACTTAGAGTATTTCTATTTTTACTTTTCTTATAGTCTGAATCATATATGCTTGTGACATTTACTTATAAATAATACTATAAGTAAATGTTAAAAGCATATAATATCATTCAGTTTATAAGTTATAGTCTTAACACTCTAGTGCCCCAATTTTTTTTCTTCACCAAAAAATTATGCTAGGCTAAATTGAGGGTATTAAAACTCAATTTCAAGCTAACTTTTTTCTAAAGTAAAAAATATGACCTCTAGTCCCGATTATATGATCTCCGCCTTGAGGCGGACCTGGCGGACCTGGCTTACCTGGGAACAGGCGGACCTGGGAAGTTAATACTAAAAGTTTAGTTTTATGATGGATCAAATAATTATAAATATTTTCTTTTTTATTATTTATTATTGAATAATTACAAAAAACTTTATATCATTGTTTATGAAATATTGCAAAACAATTTTTCGCTGCAGTGCAACATAAATTTATATTACATTTAGAGCAAGTGCATTGCGTTTCTGATTTGCACCCAGGCAATTTACATTGGCGCTTTCCGGATCTGTTCAGCCACTGAGGAAAGTGTTCTTTGCCATCAAATCTGATGTCTGCAGCTGGTAAATATGTCCTCTTGCCCAGTCGTTTAGGGGCGGGATCTTCTTCTGCATTTGTTGATTGCGGTCTTCCAACAGATCTCTTTTGCGGTTCATCTGTTTAAAATCTGCAAAGCATTGCAGCCACTTCTTTTCTAAATTGTGGGAGTTGTATATTGCATGCTTTATTTTGTCTGTTTATCCTCTTATGTAATAAATATGCATTTATCATGGCCAAGTCCAACACATGATAAAAGAAACGACTAGTCCACTTTACTGTTTTCATGCGAATATGATATCGACCCAAAAGATCGTCCGTTAGGTCGACACCGCCCATGTGTGCATTGTATTCGCGGATGATATTTGGGCAATCAATTTCTATTCTCTTCTTTTGGGCACGATCATATCTTGATGCCTTCAGGGTGTTATTACTTTCATTTTTAAATGGTAATACTCCTACGTATGTTGAGGCCAAACGAACACCTTTGTTGTCTTTCCACAGTGTAGTCGACAAGTCTACTCCATAACGAGACCCTACATATTCAGTTAAAAATCCTCGAGGTTTCTTCGCAACTTCTTTATCTGTTGGCAATTTGCAATTTGCAATTCGATTTGCCCGAACGGTTCCCAAAGAATATATTCCTCTGCTATACAGATATATCATCAATGGCAAAGTCGAATAATAATTATCAAAATATACAATGTGATTCATGTGATCAGGGATTATTTGCGATAATCTTGAAACCACATTGGCTGCTGCACCTAAATCCGGTGCTCCATTTGAAATTTTACTGTCACTTGCTCCAGAATATAACTCAAATCCGTATGAAAACCCATAGGTGTCGCACAACACGAACAGTTTCATGCCCCATTTATGTGGTTTTGCGGGCATGTATTGCCGAATATGCAAAACCATTTTTGTGGAACACATCTGTTCGTCTACACACAGGCGTTGAGACATTGGTACCGACTGAAAACATATATTGAAGTATTCAATAATTGGCCGCATCTTGAATATCGGATCAAAATTGGAATCCCCTTGCGCCGGCATTTTGGTACTGTCGTTGAAATGCAAATAACGATGTAATTCTTCAAATCGATTTTTGGTCATAGTTTTCCGAACTGGTTCAAACGAATTTTCTCCCCAATATTCTCGAGTATTTGGGTATCTGTATATGGACATATAAAACAAAATTCCGACATATTTTTGTATTTCTGCCGGCGTAGTTACAAATTTTGTTGAAATATTCATTTGGCATGCATAAAGATTAGTTGTATTTGCAATTTCCTGATATAATTTATCTTCCAAGAAATATTTAAAACATTCATAAGGAGTTTTCAATTCATAAAAACGCGCCGGTAATTCTTCATTTCCTCTGAATTGTATTTGTTTTTTCTCTAGCTGAATAATTTTCTTGCGCCACAAAATATTTTTGAAAGCTATATTTTTTGGGTTTATCTCGGTAGAGGATCCAAAAAAAGTGTTCACAAAATTATCATTTTCAACTTGCTCTAACTGAGGTTTTTTAGATTGAGATGGTCCTATTTCAATTTCTTTAGATTTAACAACTTGTATTTCGGAATTTGAGGTACCAGGCTCAATATTGGTTTCGTCCATTGCGGTTAGTATTTCATTCGTTTCATCGGCGTCATTATCGAAGATATTTTCCATATTGAAATGATGAGCGTTAGGAACAAAATCGAGGTCATCATCCGAAAGGAAATTATCTTCAATATCAGTATCTAATTCACCTGCATCTATTGAATCTAGTAAATTAAAAACATCGTCCTGTGACATCAACTCGGGATCGTAAAATTTATGTTATCATCTCTGAAATGAAATATTTAGCAATGTATAAAAAATGTTTCTCAACTACAAGTTATATCAAAAAAATATAACTTGCTGCCCAAGTCCGCCTGGAGACGGGTATCATGAATAGGGCAAGTATAATATTTGTATGAGCAATTATTCATTCAAATATATTTTGTTGCAATGCTAAATAAAGTACAAACTTACCAATAATATTTTTATTCAATTATTATTATTATTATTATTATATTTTCTTTGCCGTATAATTAAATTTACAATGAGAAAAAACCATTCATGTATAAAAATTGGCCGGAGCAAGAAGAAGACATAAACTGTCTTATCGCCAAGCCCCGTTTACATTAAGGTCACAAAGTTACAAGTTAAAAACTAAAAGGTTAAAAATTGAAGTACAATACAATATTAGTTCGACAAATATAAGACACAAGTAATAAATCGAATAAATGTTATTTGTCTGTTCAAAATTAATAGTATATATATTTTTTATTTTAATAAGAAATAAACAAGATACACAAGACAATAGTAAATGAGTAGTGATGACTTTTTCAGGTTTAATTATTTTAGGTGATTTTAGAAGAAATCTTTAAAATCGAAAGTTTTTTCTAATAGAAAACGTTTAGATTCTCTTTTGAATTGTTCTAAGGAGATGCCTCGAAGAATTTTATTTTTAATTATATTTTTTAAAAAACCTTTCCATATAAATGGTCCCCGGTATTGAATTTGAGATGAATTGAGTTTTAAATAAGATCTTGGAATAACAAAATTATCAGATGAAAATTTAGTGGGATATTTATGAGATATTTCGGTAAAGTAAGACTGAAATATATTAGGAGATAACGCATGTTTTGTTTTAAACGTAAATAGCATAACTTGGTATATATTAAGTTTGTAAATATTAAGCACATTAAGTTTCTTTAAAAGAGATTCACCATCAACAGTTCTGTTAACGCCAAAAATAATCCTACAAGCATGTTTTTGTTTGCTATAAATTTTTTTGAGCTTCCCATAATTGGTACTTGCCCATGCAAGATTACAATAGGAAAGATAACTATGAATAAATGAGAAATATATAATTTTTAAAGATTCCGTATTAAGAAAAGGTTTAACTTTATATAGCATTGAAATATTTTTGGAGATTTTATTTTCAATAGATCTAATATGATATTTCCATGATATATATCTTCATCTAATATCACTCCTAGAAAGTTAATAGTTGACTCTCTTTTAATAACTTTTTTGTTCATAAAGAGATCAGGTAGTTTTAAAAATAGGTTATCACCTTTACTAGGTTTGTGGAACAACATAAATTTAGTTTTCCCAACATTTAATGAAAGTTTATTATTCGTAATCCATTCATTTATTTTTAATAACTCTTCATTAAAAATTCTAAACAGATCTTTAATATTTCTGTTAGAGTAAAAAAGATTTGAGTCATCAGCAAACAAAATAACGTTTAGAATTTTGGATGCTAAATACAAATCATTAATGAACAGTATGAATAATAAGGGCCCTAAGATTGATCCCTGGGGAACACCACAAGTTATGATATGTTTTTTTTCTTCATTTTCTGTATATATTATGTATTGTTTCCTGTTTGAAAGGTAACTTTTAAACCATTGTAAGTTATTGTTTAATACTCCATACATTTCTAGTTTTTTTATTAGAATATCATGATTAACAGTGTTAAATGCTTTTGACAAATCAATAAAAACTCCTAATGTATAGCAATCATTATTGAACCCATTGGATACATAATTTATTAGATCGACTACTGCATGGTCCGTTGAATGATTTTTTTTAAACCCAAATTGTTTATTATACAGAATATTGTTTTCAGCTAAATAGTTGTTAAGTCTATCATACATAATTCGTTCTAACAATTTAGAGAAACATGGTAAGACAGAAATAGGTCTATAATTGGACATATTTGTATCATCGCCATTTTTAAAAATAGGTATAATCTTAGCAATTTTTAATTTCTCCGGTACAATACCGGATTTAAAAGAAAGATTAAAAATGTGAAACAGTGATGGTTCAATAATATCAAACACAGCTTTAACTACATTTACGCTAATTTTATCAATGCCCGCACATTTATTATTTTTTAGACAGTTGAAAGCATTGCGCATCTCACTTAAGTTTAAATTAGATTCTATCATAGATGTGTTGGGTGTATTTATATAAGATTCGAAGTTGTTTGAGTTGGTTTTTGGAATTTTATCAGCTAATTTTGGTCCAATATCAAGAAAAAATTTGTTGAGCTTGTTAATTATGACTTCTTTATTATAAATTATATCCCCGTCAACTAAAAGTTTTTCTGGCAATTTATTATTTTGACATTTATTTGTACCGATTATCTGCTTAATTACATTCCACGTCTTTTGTGTGTTTCCATGTGTTTTTTCTAGCAATTTTGCATAATAATTTTTTTTAGATTGTTTCTTTATTTTTTCAAACAAGTTTTTATAATTTTTATATTTTGTTTCATTTTTATATGTTTTATGTTTTAAATATTTTTCATAAAGGTTTTGTTTCCTCTTTGATGATTTGAGTAAACCTTTGGTTATCCAAGGGTTTAAAAGTGATTTAGGATTTATAATTTTTTTTATAACTGGAAATGCCAAATCATAGTATTTACAAAACTGCGCCAAAAATAATTCATACGCATTATTCACATCTTGCGATTGTAATATAAGATCCCAATTAGTTTTTTCAGATAAAAGATTTCGAAAATATATTATGGAGTTTTTATTGATTTGTCGCATTGATATTGTTGATTTAGAGACAGAATGATTAAGGGTTATATTATCTGTAGTTAAGAATATTGGGTAATGATCTGTTATGTCAGTTTTAATTATACCCGATTCTAAAGGGCAATTATGAAAATTATTAGTAAATATGTTATCTAGTAAGGTTGACGAAGTCTTAGTTATTCTCGTCGACTTATTTATAGTTGGAATGATATCATATTGTATAAGTGTATCTAAAAAGCATTGAACATTTAGATTTGAAGCATGATTTAACAAGTTTAAATTATAATCACCAGTTAAGTACACGTGTTTCTTTGTAATGTTAATTTTGCTTAAAAACGTTTTTAGATAGGTATGAAACTTTTTTAAATTACCAGATGGCTTTCTATAAATAGAACTAATAATTATATTTTTGGTCGTTTTATTAATTATTTCAATGCATAACGACTCACAATCTGTTTCGTTAACGCTGAGGTCGTTACGCAATTCAAAGTTAATAGATTTGTGAACAAAGATACTTAAACCACCACCGACAACGTGGTTTTGACGCGGTTGGTGGACTGACACGTAATTACTTAGCTCATAATTATAGTTTTTTTCATTGCTTTTCAACCACGTTTCCGTGAGAGTAATTATTTGAAAATCATGATTTAGATCATGCAATAATAATTTTAGATTATCAAAATTTTTATTGATACTTCATATGTTTAAATTTAAAATTGAAAAACTATTTATTTTATTTTTTTGACACAAAAAATGAGTAGCTTCACGGATTGAATAATACTCACTTTCAAAGTTTTTTTTATTGAAATAGTCATCATCACTCTCAGTATTCAAATTTAATAAAAGATTATCATCCATTTTAAAAAAAGTAGAATATAATAACAATCTAAATCATATATATAAAAAAAAGGAAAAATAAAAGGTACCGTTAAGCTAGAAGAAACATAAAATATTTACTTTTCTTTTGGAGACCATTCTCGTACAATCAACTTGTCGTATGATATAAACGCGAATTTCCCACCTTCTCGAGCTTTTTTCATTTCCATCCGTAATTCTTTTCTTATTTGTACCGTCTCCGCACAATAATCCTCATTTATATATATATGTTTTTGCCTTTTAATTTTGAAGAGTTTTTTAGGATTCTTTCTTTATCTTTATAATTTAGCAATTTTAGTACTATAGATCTTACTTTTTTGCCGTTTCTGATTCCAGTTCTGTGAGCCCTTTCAATTTTAATTTCTTTCAGTCCAAGTGATTCTTCAAATAGCTTCAACACTTTTTCTTCACTATTGCTCCAACTTTCATTATCATTTTCTTTTAAACCGTCGATTCTCAGGTTATTCCTTCTCGATCTATCTTCAATTTCTCTTAGTTTGCTTTTTACCTTTAATAACTCACTTTTATCCCTTAATTTACTATTTATTTCTTTAGTTTTCTTTTTTACAACCTCGAATTTCTCAGTAGCAATTTGATCACTGGTCGTTATGTATTTCTTTAATTCCGTAAAGTCAGCCTCAAGAGAGATTACTTTTTTAGTTGTTATCTCTAAATCATTTTCAATTTTGCTAATCTTTTGAAGATTATTTATATTATCTTTTTCATATTCATTCAGCCTTTCTGTGAACATTTTAAAGTTTGCAGCTGTTAAGGATGCAAAACTCTTTTCTTGTTTTTTTAAAAGTTTTTTTGTTTCATCTAAGTTGGAATTTTTATGTTTCTCAAGTAAACCAGCAACAAGTATTTCAATATTTTTAGTATCCATATCAAAAATTTATTATTAGTAGTAGTTTGTTAAAAAAAAATAAAATAAAATAAAATAAAAATAAAAAGAATCAAAATAACAAATAATTCCACGCTGCAAAAACACGTCCGATCATTTCAGCAATGCGCAATAAATTGGGGGCACAACAAATATTTTTTAACAATTTTCCAATCACTGACACAAAATTAATCGTAGTAATCGCTGCGAAATAACACTGCACGGATTATACAAACAAAACCACGTGCTTTGCGGGTGCGCCGGCGCATGTAACTTGGTTCGTATGTTATTGTCTAGAGCATTACGCTAAAATTTCTAGCGATGTAATTTTTACATGGATTTTTATAATACCCGCCTCGAGGCGGTTTTGGGAACTAGAGGGTTAATATTATGATATGCCTTTGACTAAAGCTTAGTCATCATCATTGTGTCATTCTTCAATGAATTTTATTTATTCGTGGAACAAAAATATTGTAACAGTAAGATTATAGAAATGGCAGTCCAAATAGATTGAAACACTTGGTACAGTACACTTACAGTTTTGTTTATGTAGCAGATGTGGTAAAGAAAAACTTACTCCGATTTAATCATTTTAGAATTGAATAATTCAGCTACAATTACATTTAGATAATTTGTAACAAAGTCTTAGTGATTTCTTTACTTAATTAATAAAATACACATTTAGCAAAATTTACTAGAGTTAGCGAAAATTATTGACAATTTTTCTTATCCAACTACTAATGTCTCGTACATATTTTTTAATTAGCAATAAGCATATATACAAACACTAATATTTTTTTTGTAATTGTATGTTGATGATGATAGTTTATTATTATTTATTTTTTTTTCGAAATTTTTTTCAAATGCGCATAAAACTACTTTTATCAATTTTCATTGTTATTTTATTATAGCACAGGAGTGAGCATTTTTAAAAGTTAGTTTAAATCTAATCTTATTTTACTATTTTTTTTTTTTGTTTTTTTTGTTTTTTGGAATTAGTTACAAGTAGTTTCTTTTTTTTTAGTTACCCTAAAAGAAGTGGAAAAAACTATTCAACTAAGCATTGATGATGACTTATTTGAACTAACAAAGATTGAAAATGAGTTAAATGCATTAAACATTTAATATGAAAAACACTGATCGGCCAATAGTAATATGCAAAATCTAAATAATTCTTCAACTGACTTTATGACTGTTGATAAACATTAGTCATTATGAAAAATGAATAAGAATAATCGAGAAATAATTACAAAAAAAAATATGGAATTTATTCAATAAGGTAGTGATGGTGCTATTTATAGTGTGTGGATCTTTCGTAGATCGTAGTCATGACATTAATATCTGGCAAAAAGTTTCTTGCATTATTTCAACATAATTAAATTTAATTGTTTATATTTGTACATACCAATATTCTGATTTGACACGTATTAGAAACTGTATGTATAGTGTGTACGCTCATATTTTTAAAATTTTTATACACACCAATTAAATTTGTGTTTAGATAGTTATATTAGGAGTGCGCAAACAACAATTTTTTCAGAGGAAAATTTTTAAAATCTTCTTTTAAAACCTTTTAGCAAAAAGAAGTAAAAGTTATGCGTGGTAATTTGCATACTTTTCTGTAATTTTTAAAACTAATTTAGTAAATATGTTTTCGTTACGTCCGTAACTAATTTTTTTCGTAAAACTCAAAAATAACCGCCGTGAGGGCCGACGATACCGGAAGGAGGAGGAGGGGGGGGGAGAAGAAATCAGGGGCACGTGTCCCACCACTTTTTTCCTAATGCTATGATTTGAAGGTATGAGTTTGAAAAGTTACAGAACTTTGCTTTAGTTTTATTCATTCAAAGTTTTTTAAATCTTTAATTCTTTTTGGCATAATTGAGTACAATGTGATAGATTTTTTTTTTTTAGTTTTCACCTTTTTTATGTTTTTAATAATTTTCCTTTGTTATCTTCTGTCAGATTATAAAAATGTTAATACAAAAAGTATAAAATTAGTTAAACATCAAATATTCAGTGCAAAATCTATTATTTACTGAGAGCAAACTCATTCGTTTCAAGTTTTTAATCACTCAAAAAATACTCATAGTTTTGATGATTTTATCATTAGGATTCTGATAGCTTTATACTTATACGACTAAAGCTCCGACGCAATATTTTAGATCGATAAAAGTAAATTGCAGGATTTGTTAAAGATTTAGTTTTTGTTAGAGAACATGCCCACACATAAAAAGTTTGTGTCCATGGCCAAGTATAGCTAACACTTTTAATATGCCATAAAATTAGCAATGAAACGAATGGTAGATACGCAATGCTTGTAGATAAATAAACCATTAATGTTAAATTGTTCATTTTCATGTCTTTTTCAACTTTTTTTCTCGCAACTAAGTTCCGGTCTTTTAATTTGTGCTCATTTTTATTTTTTATGGAATTATTTTTATTTCCATCTGAAACATTTTCTTTTGGATTTTGTGTTGAAATCATTTGTTGAACCATTTTTACTCTGATGTGCAATCGAGCATGAATATAAAAAACTATTGGTATGATTATCGAAGCCATGAATATTATAACTAGTTCAATTAATTTTCTATTTTCGGTTAAAAAGCTCAATCCTGTTACTAAAAAAACACAAATTGCAATAATACAGACCCATTTGAAGTAAAAGCGTGGATTATTATTAATGAGCTTTTGGTACAAAAAAGGTTGAAAAACGGCCAGATACCGATCAATTGAACCCAAGAAAACTGTTAAAAAAGATATAAACCCAGACGAGTGAACTGTAAAAACCACAAATAAAAATAAATTACAATTATGCGTCCGTAATGTTGACATTATCACAACAGCTCCCCACGGAAAAATTGAAAACATTCCAATTAATAAATCGCTGTAATAGCTAACAATATGTTTGCAGGGTTTTGCATATTCCGACTGTAATAGGTTATTCCAACAATGTAGAAATTTAAAAAAATAATTGGAACAGATAAAATAAAACTAAAACAAACTGCTGCATACAGCGCTCCATTGATTTCTAAATGCACAGTGATCCGAGAACACCTGATAAAGTAATGTGACGAATTCATATTGGGTCCCTTTTGACTTAGAAGTGTAAACTCGTTCCTTCCATAAATAATCGTTATATGATTTTGAACAACTTATAAAATTTTAAAATCTAATTTGAATTTCAATTGGTATTTTGTTAAAAAGCTTTTTTCAAGAAGTTATAATATTACAGCAGATGGAAAAATTGTTATTCTTTTTTTCTGTTTTGTTATTGTTGTTTTTTTTAATGCTATAACATTTTTTCATTTAAAAGATTTTAAAAAAATAAAATAAAATAGCAAAATGTTTTACTGAAAACTCGAAAATTACCGTTTAAACTCAGGCACGTAGCAACCAGGTGGGCAGCAGAAGCATTTGTTCCCCAAATAATTTTTCAAATAAATAGTTTTAAAGAAATTGACTGAAAAAATGACTAAAAAAAAATAGGGTTTTAAAACTATTTTGGGGTAGCACTGCCTCCCCCCCCCCCCCCATATAATTTTTGTTCCTACGGCCCTGAAACTTACCCACAAATATTTAAGTTTACAAAAAAAGCAAATAATTTAAAGTTTTTTTTAATATATATTTTTGGTTGTTTAAAGTGTCGCAAAACGAAATTTTTATAAACACACAGTACAAGAAAATGGGGGTAAAGTTTTGTTGCTTAAAGCATATTTAACTTACTAAAAAATTTAAAGTAAAGAAGATATTGGATAAATAGATAGATAAATAAATAGGTATTAATAAATTAAATAAAGATAAACAAAAAGATACTGAACAAATCTATTTTAAACAAATCTTTGAAATCTTGTCAAAATCTTGCCACCATTTGTTTCTAACAATTAGCGTGTCTACTGATGGAACCTCGGTACAACAATGTGATTGCTATACTTTTCCGATTTAAATCTTTGAACAAGAACTTTTTCAATGTAATATTTAAAAGTTAATTTCATCACTGAAAATTACTTGTTTCTACTAGCTTTGCTTGCTTAGGGTAGAACGGGGCATATCGGGACAGTGGGGCATAACGGGGCAGTTATGCTTGAAGCGTTATATCTTATAAAACATTTTAAATTATTGTGCTTTATTTTTGTAAAAAAAAAAATCTAATTTTAGAAATACTAAAATGCATTAAAAGTACCAAAGTGCATCAGTTGGTTTGAAAAATTCAAAATTTTAGTATTTTTTTAAGCGATACAACGATAAAAGATTTGTCTTTTTTTCCTCCTCGTTTAGAATCTGGTTTTAAAAAAATATTTGGAATTAAACTTTTTGAATAGTATTAGTACCAGTAAGTTGACTTTTATGGGGCATATCGGGGAAACAAATTTATTTATATAATTGAATATATTACTACCATTTCGTGATGTGGTTTACAGTTTGACGATTTTGTTTTTAATTTAATATTTTATTTTTCTCATTTAGAAAATCAATTTTAGTAATAAATTCAAAAAAATTCTAATTTTTATAACTTAAATTCGATTAATAATAGTGTTTAATGTAAACAAAGATAGTCAGAAATTTTATTAAAAAAATAAATCATCTAAAATGGAATTAAATGCAGTTTTAGTGTGAGTAAAAAGGAACTTAGAACTAGAAAAGCTGCTGATACATATGGCATATTTAAATCGGCTCTACATTACCATATTGCTAATAAGCCAGCTTATCAAAAATATTGCCAAACAGTTTCAGGATATTTTTTGTGTGATTTATGGGATCCATAAAATTTTTTGTTTAATTTCAAATGTAATAATAATTACCAATTTAACAATATATACAGGTTAGAGAATCGCGGAGGTAGGTTAGAGAAGAGCGGAGAGTAGGTTCGAGAAGAGTGTAGGTTAGAGAATAGGTGAGAGAGTAGGTTAGAAAGTAGGTTAGAGAGTAGGTTAAAGAGAATAGGTTAGAAAGTAGGTTAGAGAAGAGCGGAGGTAGGTTAGAGAAGAGCGGAGGTAACTCGGAGGTATTTTATAATAAAATACAAAAAAAAAGATTTTTATTTTAGCTGTTATTTCTTTTTTGTGGTTTTTGGGTGTAAGGGCGCGTAGCTTCTATGGGTATGTTACTTTTTTAATAGTTTGATGTCTGAACATATTTATACAATAGATAGCCTTTAGTTTTCATCATTTTAAAAGCTTTACAGTTGATAACTGCTGCTTTTTAACTGTCCCGCTTTGCCCCACCCATTTGCAAAATGTAAAAGTTTTGCTAGTCTAGAGTTATGTTACTTTGGTTCTCGTAACTTATTTTCAGAAACTTTTTTTGTTATTTTATTTTCTTATATCAATGAATATTAGAAAATTTATAAAAAACATATAAATTGTCTTCTCTCTGAGACTACAAATCTAGCATAAACCGTTTTCTCATTAAAATGAAAAACATTATTAAAAATAATAGTCTCATAGATTCTTCATAGCTTTTTTGATGATTTGTGGTTCTTAAATTCGAAGACACTTTTTGCAAAGTTTTTTGACACATAGTGTACTAATAATAGTGTTAAATATGATTTGTTTATCCGCAATTTATATCTCAACTAAAAAAATAATTTTTTTTTTCGAGATATAAGGCTTCAGGCATAACTGTCCCGTTATGCCCCACTGTCCCAACATGCCCCGATCTACCCTACAAAAATAAACTGTTGAAAAGATCACGAGAAAAGAGACATATTTGTCACTGGTTGATTTGTTTTCCACAATATAATGCTATGTTTTGTTTTGCCTTCTGGTTTTTCAGCAATAAAGCAGGCTCCACATAAAACGATTGTCAAAAAACTTTGCAAAAGATGTCTTCGAATTTAAGAATCAAAAATCATCAAAAAAACTATGAATAATAAAAAAAAAAATTTAAATGACCTTGCTATCCCAGCAGACATTTGTTACGACCATTTGATGGTGAAATTTCAGGCTGCAGAAAAAAGTCAATGACATTTTACAGCATAATTTGTTTACACACTTCAGTGCACAATTTGAATCTTGAATCTTTTGAAATTTAATCCTGTAAATTTTTAGAACTTTCAAAACCATATACACAATTTTACTAGCAGTTTAATTAGTGTAACGGTACTCAAAGAAAAGCATCATCAAAATGTAGAAAGGTTTGTTTTAAGCCTAGAACGTCATGATGACACAAGGTGAGCATTTACGAAAGCAGCGGATGATTCTTTATTACAGAATCGTCAAGCATTGGAAATAGCTTAATCATTAAGCATTGGAAATAGCAGAATCGTTAAGCATTGGAAATAGCAGAATCGTTAAGCATTGGAAATAGCAGAACCGTTAAGCATTGGAAATAGCAGAACCGTTAAGCATTGGAAATAGCAGAATCGTTAAGCATTGGAAATAGCAGAATCGTTAAGCATTGGAAATAGCAGAATCGTTAAGCATTGGAAATAGCAGAATCGTTAAGCATTGGAAATAGCAGAATCGTTAAGCATTGGAAATAGCAGAATCGTTAAGCATTGGAAATAGCAGAATCGTTAAGCATTGAAAATAGCAGAATCGTTAAGCATTGGAAATAGAAGAATCGTTAAGCATTGGATATAGCAGAATCGTTAAGCATTGGAAATAGCAGAATCGTTAAGCATTGGAAATAGCAGAATCGTTAAGCATTGGAAATAGCAGAATCGTTAAGTATTGGAAATAGCAGAATCGTTAAGCATTGGAAATAGGACGAAGTTGGTGCAGGGCAAATAATAAATTGTAAACCCAAGCTTTTGAAATATCTCAATACATACAAAAGAAATTTATAGACATGGTTATCCTTTGAGTTATCTCAAATTTTTGGATTTCAACTTACGAGTACGAGAAAAGGCTATGAAACAAATTTGCAGGAACTAGAAAGAAACCTATTATCTCGCTTTAAAATGCAACATAAAAATAACTTTACCTTGCTTTAAAATGCAAGTATTATCTCGCTTTAAAATACAATATAAAAATTATTAACAGTATAGAAATGAAAAAAAAAAGCGGAATTTTGATAAGCTAGCAAGAAAAAAAAGATATTAGAAAAGATTTTGTTGTTGATACCCATCTGGTTTCATAGAACTCTGTTGTAAGCACAATAAAAAATCACTTTGTTCATCAAGGTTTCTTCAAAATTCAAATGTCAAGATCTAAAGAATTTTTAAAATGTGGAGAGTTTAGAACTTCACAACGAGATTGAGTTAGAACTTAACAACTTTGGATGATGTCACTCTGGAATTTTTTTTGCTAACTAATGCTTTGCTAACTAATGATTTCTGTAACATTTACCCAAAATTATAAACATTGTATAAAATATACATGGCATTGCGTATTTTTAATAAGTTTAAATAACAATATTTTAGTTGATTAAAGTTTGTGAAACCTTATTTACGGTTCGTTATATGTGAGAAACAATTATCAAGCATAACACTTCTGTCAATTGAAAGAGAGCCGGTGAATAAACTTAATTATGAAGCTGTGCTGGATGGTTTTGTCCGTATGAAACCAAGACGTCAAAGTTGATTAAGTTTCTGAGACCCAATTAATAGTGTATAATTGGGGCATTATGTACGACTTTAAAAATTTAAGAAATACAAAAAATTTTTTTTTAGTTCTTAGAACAAAAAAAGCTTTGCTTACACTCAGCATTTCTTACATCGCACCTTCTTAAAAAATTTTCGCTCCTTTTCAGGGCTGACGCTAGCAGGGAGGGCTAGGAGGCATTGCCCCTCTCCTACCCCCCCCCCCCACACTTTTTTTCTAAAAATATATATTTTTTAATTTTTAGATATAGATGACTTTTTTTAAAATTAAAGATTGTGCCCCTCCACTTTGAAATCCGTGTCGTCGGCCCTGCCCTCTGTTATCGAACTCTCACTGGTTTACTTTTTTTTTGCCCCGACCCTAGGTAGGTCAGGACCTACATGGCCGGGGCAAAAAGAAAGTAATTGTCTTATCACTATGTCTTGTAAGTTTCGACTTGCTTTCATTGCTAGACGTGTCGTACAATCATTTAAAAAAAATGTAAAAATTTTTTGTTTAAATAGAAAAAGAGAAGTACAATTTTAAGTCAAAAAATTTCTTTTAAAACACTTGAAAAAAAAACTGTTAAAATTACATAACACTATAGAAAACAAAAACTAGATATAATAAGACATTGCAGTTCTTGGATAAAGCTTAATTAAGTAGTTATGATGGGCAATTAATTAACGCTCCCTGCAATATATTGCAATCCAACGCTTTCTTATTATCTTCTAACTAAGCTGCAAATAAGCACTATTTAAGTTAGGAGTTGCTAAAAAGTATAGAATAGATTTGGAGAGCAAGAAAACGGTTGACAGAAACTGTAAATTGTATAAATCAGGAAAACCTAATGATGGTAAAGAAAGTCTTAGTGTTTAAGGGAAAAGGCTCCAAGTTTTTTAATCGAAACGTTACAGTTTCTTTAAAAAAAGGTGAGCTTTGATAATTGAACCCGTCATTTCGAAAAGGGCACAAGTCCATTTATTAAAACTTTTCAATATCAAAAAAAAACAACAAGATTTTAATTAAAGTAATGCTACCCTGGTAAAGAAACTAAATATAGAAGTAGATAAATAACGTATATAACTTATGTAACTTTTATTTTTTTATAAAAAAAACATAAACCATAAAGAAATTTTCAATTTAAATTTATAATCAAACTGTTAAAAGTTTTGGACTTGTGTCCTTTTCGAAATGACAGGTTCAATTGACGAGTCACAAAAAAGTTTTAATAAAAAATTAAAGCTATTTTTTGTAATTTTAATTTTGTAATTGAGCCATTTTTTTTTTAACCGATATTTTATTGTTCTTAGGCTCCGATCACTGTAATAAATTATAAAAAGTTCATAGTTGACACCAAGATGAAAAAAAAGTTTACAGGTTAGCACTAACTCTGCTTACTTATTTTAATTTTTAGAACGCTGACAGAATCTTTTCAAAACCAGTCATAACTGTTTATGATATGGTGGTTTTCTTTTCAAATAAAATGCCTCCCAGAAAGATTTTTTTTTTATTCTGAAGTCAGCGCTCTAAAAGCTGCGCCACGGCTACTAAACACATCTTTTAACTAGGAAAAAAAATTTACATAAGAAAATAACAATAAAAGGAACGTAAAGTTTCAAAAAATAGGCGTTTAAAAAGGATTATATAATAACTTGCCACTTGTTTTAAATAAAGCAAATAATTTCTTTGACAACTATTGGAAGTTGAACTGTAGCAGATAAGCAACATTTTTGAACTTTGGATATCATAATATTTTATTTAGAAGTAGTTTTAAAAGATTCAAATTCTTTCTTATATTTAATTATTTAATAATATTAAATCAATTTCTTTACAAATAATTAAGCCTCTATTGATATGGTTTTTATCGTAGTAGATAAACCAACTGCCGGTAAAACTGCTTTATTTTCTTCGATTTCATAAATACTTTTTATGACGAAGTTTATTCAGTAAGGTCGTATGATATTTATTATTTATAATTGATTTTGATCCAAAGAAGCACAAACTCTGGCTTGAAAAAGGAATTAAATGCGTTCGCAATAAGATAATACTCTTTGAAAGTATCATGGCCATATTTTCTAACGATTTTTCCCTAAAATATTACATAGCCCATAATTTCTAACGGAAAGAGCTTTTTTAGTTTTGCAAGACTGAGCATCCATAAAGCACTTATTTAAATATTGCCGGTTGTCCGATGCACATATTATGTCCACGTTGAACGTGCAAACATTTTCGCAATAACATTGAGGAGCTTTTGTTAAAGTATTAATTATGCATTTTGCTGAGGGCGGACAATTTTTTAAGTCACACAACGTCTTGTCTTGCAGTGAACTCATTTCAAGTTCAGATATGGCTTCGTCTAAAAAAAAACAAAAAAACAACAGATATCATAAACATAACAATAAAGATAAAAGCGAGAAGTATCGTGGTAAAAAGTAAAAACGGAAGACAAAAACTAAATCTTCCCAACAAAAAAAACATTCAACTTTATTTAAAAAGTGCATTTTCTAAACATTTCTTGTATCAATTAATATGAAAAATATTTATGACCAGATTTACGCCATAATCTAATAGTTTTAGTTGACTGGATTCATCAATTAAATAGCAGTAAGCAACCCGTAATATGGGTTGTTAGTAAATAAAATTAAGTAAAAACCCGCGTATAGAAAAGCCTAAAAACTACTATAAAATAGAAAAGCCTAGAAAATGACGTAAGTCGACTGTTAACTAGTACTATTAAACTAGCGTATTAATATTGTTATATTTTTAGTATCATATCATATATTGAGTATCATATTTTAAAGCGACATTTATTACACGATATTCAGACATTAACTTTTTTTAGAGACGTTTAGTTAATATCTAAAAACCTCTACTTTTTATTTTAAGCTACATGTTTCCATTTAAAATAAACATAAAAAAATGAGATTTTAAAAATAGAAACTGACTTTGATTGAATATTTTACCTGTCAAACGTAAAAACTTATTATATGTTATTGCAATAGTGTTAATCAAGCACTTTTAAAATTCTGTAAACACCTGGAAAACCTACAGTCAACAGAAATTTTTTATACTTGACTCAATAAGTAATTTTTAACATTTGAGCGTAGTCAGTACTAGCATAAATGCAGTAAAATGTACTTATGCTAGGGAAAACTGCACAATACAGAATCCAGAAGCTTTCTCAAATTAGCGTCTAAATAAACCAAAAAAATAATCTGTAAAAAAACACAAATAGCAATTTAAAAAGCAACTAAGCATATTTGTTTTTGATCATAATGACATCACTAATAATTATTTTGTAATAATAATCATAATGACATCATTAATTAGGATGTTAGCAATATCAGGGTTTATCACGGTCGTTTACAAGCGTTATGTTTAGGTATGCATGCGTGAGAAAATGCAAAAAACTTTTGAACTTTTAAAATGGCTACGATTATATTTTATATGGCAACCGTGTTATTTGATCTCTGAAAACTAAATGTTGTAGCCTTATTTTTATGTAGATCATTATATTATTACAAAAATTTCACAAAAATATAAATAAAAAAAGGATAAAAAATATCTTAGAGTACTTAAACTTTATTTTCAATAAACAACTTTTTAGTGTAACTCATAGATTTGTTTATTTATTTGAAATCAATTTTCTTAAAATCTGACTGTAGGATTTCAATAATTTTCTTTTGAACTTAAATATGTTCTATATTTATGATATTTTTCTGGTCACTGCTTCAACTTTTTTTCAATATAAAAATTTGTTTTTACTATTATGACTATTTACTAATAATATTAGTAAATAGTCATATATTAGTAATATATATATATATATATATATATATATATATATATATATATATATATATATATATATATATATATATATATATATATATATATATATATATATATATATATATATATATATATACATATATATATATATATATATATATATATATATATATATATATATATATATATATATATATATATATATATATATATATATATATATATATATATATATATATATATATATATATATATATATATATATATATATATATATATATATATATATATATATATATATATATATATATATATATATATATGCTTTTGTTACCTAAAATATACAAATATTTTTTAAAATAACTTTTTAAAAAATATTTGTATATTTTAAAAATAACTTTTTCGAAAGGAATGGCGTTAAGTCCAGAACATCTTCAACACATAAACTAATGAAGGAAACAGTTTTAAAAGAGGTTCTATATTATATTTGCAGGTTGATCATTATTTGTGTAATGCTTTTGTGACATAATTATTATAGATTTTTTACTAAAGTATACAGAGCAAAAGTTTCATCTGCAACTAGTCTTTGCATAACTTATGTAACAGAATTGTGCAAATCTTGTATTGAAACTATTTTAAAAATTATCAACTCTTGTTTGTGAACGACAATTGATGAAAATGAAGCTTCTGGGAGATCACAAATGCTGTAATTGGAATATAACATTAAGAGCAAGAAATTAAACAAAACATTTTAGGCAGATGAACATGTGAAACTTTATGGAAAAATATTTGGGAATTATTATGGGAATTTTTTTTTATTTCTGCTACACCATACATAGTGCAGCAGAAGTAAAAAGCAAAACAAAGATATATATATATATATATATATATATATATATATATATATATATATATATATATATATATATATATATATATATATATATATATGTAGTTAGTAAGTTTTGCTGTAACTGGTTAAGTAAGCCAATGAGTATGCCTTTAAGGATACTGTGTTAGTCTAATAGTGTTAGTAATATAAGAACGAAATTTTTGGTACAAAAAATTAATTTTTTTTTTTTTTTTTTTGTTACTTGCATTATAGTTATGATAATATACATGTTTGTCAACTTGCTTCTCGTGCAGCGGCCTTGTTCACTGAGGTTCATGTTTCAGAGTTATAGAATGGGTTGTAACTACAAAAGTAGCCTCCTAGACTGTAGTCGGTGTAGAGGTGAATAATTAAATATATATATATATATATATATATATATATATATATATATATATATATATATATATATATATATATATATATATATATACATATTACAAACAAATATTAGCAATTTAGCTGATTTCTGATACTGCAGGTAAAAAGTATCATAAAAAGAGTTTGTTATTAAAATACAATATAAGCAATTTTGATTTTATGTGGCTTTTTAAATATTATTTAATTCAACATATGATTGGAACCGTAAGTGCACTGTATTATTATCATCTTATTTATTATTAAGATAATTTTTAAAATTTATTTAGCTATATGTTATTATTAATTTTATTAAAGTTACCTAATATTTTTAATTTTAGTTAGAGAATAAAAGTAAAATTGTCAACACTTTGTTTTGATGATAAATACATCATACTTATAAGGTCGTCCCAAAAAACAATATTTTTTAAAAATATAGCTGCCACCTCCTAATGTGTTTTAAAAACACATTAGGAGGACCTTATAAGTATGAAGTATTTATCATCAAAACAAAGTGTTGACAATTTTACTTTTATATGATGAAAAAATACTGGGTTTATAATTTTTTTAAAACCATTAACATATTACGAGTTCCTAATATTATCAATTTAAAAAATTTTCAAAAGTGTATCTTGACATTTTGTCTCAAATTAAGCAAAATCATGAAAATTTCAAATATGATATTATACTATAAAAAACTTATTGAAAAAAAATATTGCCAAAAATAAAATGTAAAAATGGACATTTTTCTTTTTTAGTGAATAAAATTCATTTTTTATGGTCTTAAACCTAACATTGAAATTTTCATATAATTTTGCTTCATTTGAGACCCAACATAATACAATTTTTATTTATGTTATTAGGAACTTGTTACGTTCCTTGGGGTCTCAAAGGAACATAACAAGTTCCTAAGGGTCTTGAGGGAGTCATCAAAATATTTTTTATTCAAAAATTTTTAAAAAACAGTTTTTTTATTATATAAAACACATTAAGCATATACTGTTCAAAAATGTTCTTTTTGGGAAAACCCTATTAAATAATAATATTTTTTTCAACTTTAGATAAATGTGTTTTATATTGATGATATTTTTCTTGTCATCACTTCAACTTTATTTTGATACAAAAATTTACTTTTACTGTTATGACAGGTAATATTGGCAGGCGTGTGGGCAAGCACAAAACTGCAAGAGCGCAAAAGTGCTCTTCCAACAGAGAAGACTGCCATGTGGCTCAATGCTTGAGCCACATGGCAGTCTTCTCTGTCTACATCTTGCTCGAGTGTCCACTGAACTTTTTCATATCCATAAACTAAATTCAGAACACAGTCAATAAAACAAACTTATTTTTTTATCTTCAAAATAAGTTTGTTTTATTTTTTTAGACATCTGGAAAAAAAAAAGCACAAACAAAATGAATTTTTCAAGACAGTACTGATTGAGTCTACATTTCTTGTATAAAACAAAAGAATTTAATGTTTATTTATGTTTAATAAATTATTCAATAACTTTTATACAGCTTTAGGTAAATACATAAATATAGTTTATGTGCTATCAATCAGGGTCATGTAAAAAATGATGAGATAAAAATGTATTTTTTAAATAATTTTAGCTACAAAAACGGAATTTAAAATGTGAAATCTTTAAAAAATTGAAATAAATATTAAAAATAAGATGTGATAATTAAGAATAAAGTTTTAAAACTGTTTAAAATACTAATTTAAAAATGATTAACGAAAAACTTTGATGAAAATTAAATGGTAGATTATTAAAAAAATTATTTACAAAAATAGAAAACTTCAAAAATAAAAGTATCAAACAGTCAATAAAATTTTTTTTATATTTAAAATTATCAAATTTAATATTTTAGTATATGAAAAATTTTGAATTTGAAATTATTTTATTGAGCCCTGACTTACTAAGAAAAAAAACAATTTTTTCCCCTGACTATGAAGTGAATTCCCTGACTTTCCCTGACCGTTATAACCCTGAATATAGAGGTATTAACAAAGTACTCTACAAGTGTACCAAGAGTTCATTTTACAGACTGTTATTGACACACATGATAAGTTTTTATATTACAATTTGAATATATCAATGGGTATTAGACAAAATAGCTTATGATGAGGTACAAAATAGCTTATGATGAGGTACAAAATAGCTAATGATGAAGTAAAAAGAGGTCGCCGGCTATTTGACACAATTTTAACACCGCTAATTTAATTGGATGCACCCCAAAACGTTCGCACTTAATTCTAACTTATTTTTCTCCATGAAAGAAAAATAAAAGTCACTTGAGATTAATTATGCCTAAACAAATTACGAGATAAGACACTTCCCACCACTTTTGAACAAAGACAACAGTGTTTAAATTACGTCAAATAGCTGGTGACCACTTTTTAAAAAAATTATAGAAATTTCAAAATAGTTTTTCACATTACGTCAGCTTATCTTTGTAATGTCTTCTAAACGGTTTTTTACATACACTTTTTGTGAGCTTCTTATTGTAATTTATTTTACGTCTGACGACGGTCTGAGTTAATCAGACTGAAATACTGCATAAATAAATTAAAAATTAGTACTTAGCTGTATTTTATGTGTTATATATATTAAATAAATAAATTATCAAGTACTACAAGAAATTTCATTGAAACAATTTAAATTTTAATATTTTTAAAAATAATTATAATCTAATACTTTTAAAATATTATTTTTTAAATATATTTTTTAAATATATTATTTTTTAAATATATACTTTTAAAACATGTGACTTCAGTAGATTTTACCAAGATTGCAATATTTTAATATTATATGATTATAGTTACATTATATGATTATAATTAAATAATGTCGCTTGTCAAACTTAATCAGCTTAATAAAAAAAGTTATTAAACGTTGATAAACTAAATAAAATGAATAGTTAATTTTAATCAGTTGAAATAAAATTTAAAAATATCAAAAAAATAAAAGCAAATTTAAAAGTAATTTGAGGAATTTTAACGCATTAAAATGAAAATAAACTGGTACACTCATACCACATTTTCCAGCATAAAGAGGTACCAAAGGTTTTCTCCACCTGCATGCATAAAACTGCATCATACAAATATTCACATATGTTTTTCCATCAGAAGCACAAACTAAATTTTTCTTTAGCGAACATTGATTTGGGCAAATGCATTTATTACTATGAGAAGTTTGTTCACATTTTGAATAGAAGTCACAAACTTCGGTACCACACTTTTCGCCCTCATGGACTAACTCTTGCTGAAATGTGGGTTTTTTGCCTAGAGTAAAAAAATTTATTGCTGTTAATTTTACAAAGTTATTTAAATATAAATATTGCTGTTAATTTTTCAAAGTTATTTAAATATAAATATACTACAACATTTAACAGAGAAAGTAATAAATTTTTTTAACATGATCGCCTTGATTATAATGATTTTATTTGTAATACTGTGAAATAAACAGGTACTTAACAACCAAGTCTCCTAGTAGATCAGAAATTCTACTATAAAAATAAGGAAGTCTACTAGCATACAACTAGCATATCAGGAGGTCTACTAGGAGGTAATGTTGTATAATAATAAAGTAAAACCTATAAATGACCTTGAAGCAGAATAAATGTGTTCTCAACAATTTTACAGTAGAAAATTTATATTTTTAATAAATCTACAATTCTTTAATAACTTGTCAGAGACAGATCTAGGGTGGATCTTATTTATTTGTGGACGCACCTGAATATATTAGAAATAAAATTGTTGCCTGAGAAAAAAAAATTGATTTAATATTTAAATACAACTTATAGTTACTAAAGTACTTTTTACTTTTAGCACCACAACTATTAAGGACAATTAAGTAGGAGAACTTTTTTACACACACACACACACACACACACACACACACACACACACACACACACACACACACACAAATATATATATATATATATATATATATATATATATATATATATATATATATATATATATATATATATATATATATATATATATATATATATATATATATATATATATATATAAAGATTAAAAAGAAACTTTTAAAAAGTAATAAAAACATGCAAATCAAAAAGCATTTGATGAAATAAATAATAGCAAGTTAAGGTGCCTTTATACAAATGCTACCTCATTAAATTCAAAATTCAAAAAAAAAAAAAAGAAAAAAAAAAAAGCTATTGAACTACCAGTATTAGCATCAACAGATAAACCTCTAACTATATTTATCATCGAAACTTGGTTCAAAGAAGTTTCTTTAATTGAAAGTTATTATTTAAACAAATTTAACAGAAATGACAACATTTCAAACAAAAGTAATGATGTCAGTATAGCAATATATATTTTCAGGACAATGTATCATAATATGAAATTAAGAACTCAACGATGAATATTACAAAATATGAACAAATTTTGGTGTTTTGTAAAGTATGGAGTTTCATCAAGCTTGGATGTATTTATCGTCTATCAAAATCAAAAGTTATGGCAAAAAATCATGTTACACAAAGATAGTGAGATGCCAAACAAAGCTGACAATGGAATAATTAAAAGTATACAAATAGCAAAAAATGAAATCAGTAAAATATATCACAGTATACTCATATGTGGTGATTTAAATTTTCCATACATTAAATGGCATGAAGATGGTTCTGTTCATGTGAATGGTAATAAAAACAGCATTGGTGCTAGAACTGTTGATCTCATCAACATCATTCATATAATTTATTATAATGTAACATTTCCTAAATTAATCCAGGCAAATAAAATTTCTAAAAATATACTGGATCTTCTCCTAATGAAATTGTATTCGGTCTGAATCATCAGACCGAATCGAATACATAAAGAATTTATCACCACTAGGATTGGCTTGTCAATTATCATACTATTATAAGAACTTATCACCACTTGGATTGGCTTGTCAATTTATCACCACTTGGATTGGCTTGTCAAGGTCATTTAGTATCAAAATTTAATTATAATTGATCATGTAATAAAGATATAATTAAAATGTAATAAATTGAAGATAAATTTAATTATTTAACATTCAAGTACAATTACCATAAAAGTGACTTTAATTCTATGCTTAAATATTTTCAAAATGTTGATTGGTCAAAAGGGTTTATTTACTTAAATATAAATGACATTTACAACTTATTCTTGAATCATTATAACCATATGACAAATATGTTTGTACCAAAAATGATATGTAAAAACAAAAAGAAACCTCTTTGGCTTTATCAAACACTTTTGATGCTCATAAATAAAAAAAGTAGTTTATGGCGTAAAAATCAATTTTCAAATTGAAAAATTCCAGAGCTTGTTAAACAAAACAAAAAAGTAAAATTTGCTTCACAAATACAAAAAAAGATTACCAATTAAAAAAACTGAAACATAGTTTAGCTTTTGATGCAAAAAATCTTAAACGCTTGTTTAGTTATGTTAATAGTTCACGCAAAGTCAAACAAAGCATCAAATCAGTTCGAAATAAATTTGGAGTAATAAGGACAATTGGAAGGTTTATTGCAGACATTTAATGATCAATTCAAATCAGTCTTTAATAATTACTCAGTTTAAAACTCATGCAACTAGTGGTGTCCCACAAGGTTTTGTTTTGGGCCCAACACTCTATAATTTATATCAATGACTTGCCTGACAATTTAAAATGTGTCTGTAAGTTATATGCAGATGATTCTAAGTTAATGAATGAACTAAGAGTAAATCATATTCTTAATGATAATACTGACTTGCTGATTTAAATAAAATCACTAAATAGTCAAAAGTTTGGTTAATAAAGCTCAACCTAGAAAAATGTAAGTTTGTACATTTGGGAAGGTTATGCATATCGAAAGAAACAACCCACATACTATTCACTTCAAGAGACAATCAACTATTTAAACTACGATTAGGGAAAATCAGAGGTCGAAAAAGATCGAAAAAGAAGTATTTGTTTCAAGTGATGCTAAATATTTTCACCAAGTTATTCATTCTAGTTATAAAGCTAACAGAATGCCTAATATATTAAAAAACATTTGTATCAAGGTTTTGAGTGTTATGGACCAAGTTAAACAAAACATGTCAGACCAACCTGGAATATGCAACCAGTGATTGATATCTCCTTACACAATAAAAGATAAAAAAAATTATTGAAAAAATTTATTTATATTTAAAAATATAATTTTAATTTTACATTTTTATAATAATATTTTAAAAAATATTATTATAAAAATGTATTTATATAAGCATTTGCTCACTAGTTTTATTTATCTTTTAGAGCATACAGCTTTTTTAGAGAAAAAATTAAAAAAAACAAAGAATAATGAAAGAAAAGATTGCTGCCCTATGCCAAACCCTCAGTCGATGTAGCAGCACTCTCTTGCAGGTCAGGCAATTTGATATTTAATGTATGTGCCCCCGGCAGCAGGTTATTTTAGTTTGACATCAGAGTACTATCTAAGCAAACAATTTAAGTTATATATTTATGGGCAATTCCATGGCAGAAAATGAAAAAGTACTCAAATTTTATTTTATTTTTTGTCAACTTTTAGCAAATGAATATTGATGCAGACACATAAAAGTTAATTTAAAATATACCTTTAGTACTAAAATTAATTTATTTAAGTCATTTTTGTGTTTCCGAAAATTACGGTTTTTCTTATTGTTGCATGATAAAAAAAGTATCATTGTAAAATGTTATTTTAACCATAAATTTATTTGCAAAATTGGAATTTATTTAGCGGGAAATTGGAGCTAACATGTTCAAATTGTTGTTGGTCAGATTTTATGCTCTAAAAAATATATATATTTCAAGGAAATAACGAAAAAACTTTTGCAATTTTCATGTAACATAAGTTAACAAAAACATGATAAAGTTTTGTTTTTTCAAAACATAGTTTAAAAACTGGAGTTTTTTAATAATATATGATAGAATATTAAATGTTTTTGCATTAAAAGTTTTAAAGCACATTTTTATTTTAAATTTGCGTAACATAACTTAAAACAACATGCATTTACTAAAGTTCTGGTGCTTTTTCATTACCAAAATGAATTATATCATTAATTAATTTTGATTTAATCTAGTTTAAATTTTTTATATTAGGAGAACTTAGAAAAAAAAATCTTTAATTTTTTTTTAATATTAATTAAAATTATTTATATCATTACTTTTATTTGTTCATGTATTCTTATCTTGGTTGACATATAAATATACACAAATAAATATAAATAAGAATTATACAAATGTTAAAAAAAAAGATTTATTTGCTTTCTCCTAATATAAAAAATATCAGTTAGAACCTTTCTTATTTTTTATTTTAATAAAACAAATTGTTTGTAAGTGCAATTAAGGGGGGTCATCCATAAAACATGTCGCCCAATATTTGTCAATTTTTAACCCATTCCCTCTTGTCACAAACAATCACTTATACCTGAACATCTCTCCCTCCTAAACTGTGATAGCAGTTTTTATGTTAAAAATATTTGAAAAGATTTAAATGTGAATAGTTTCCAGCATTTTAAAAACTCAACCTAATGAAAATAAGGCAATACGCATAAACATAAGAAGTGTAAATAAAAACTTCAACAAATCAAAGATTTTCTTATTTAAATGACTCAAATAAATATTAATAAAGTTGTAATATTAAAATAAATTTTTATAGTTGCTCTTGGTCTTTGCGTATTCCATTTTTATAACTTTCATAAATGTTATGAAAAATCACTTAGGAAGAATGCCACCAGTTTTTCAAAATTTCATTTATTAATTATTTTTAATGAGTCGAATACTTTGGCAATTTTTATGCTATGTAACTCTAACTCTCAATAATAGATATAAAATATCTACAATAATAACTGCTCGGTAACGTAAATGACATAACGTAAGTTAAATATATATTAGAAAAAAAAACAGTTTATTTTCCTTAGTTGGTCACCTTGATAAATTTTTATATATTTTTTAAATTGGTATAGAATTCTCAATATCTTGTAAAAATTTGCAGAAATCTGACCTAAAAGTTGAAGCAATATTTTTACCTTGTTTTCTGTGTAAAGTAAGTTAATATATATATATATATATATATATATATATATATATATATATATATATATATATATATATATATATATATATATATATATATATATATATATATATATATATATATATATATATATATATATATATATATATATATATATATATATATATATATATATATATATATATATATATATATATATATATATATATTTATATATATATATATATATATATATAT